TTTTCCAATATTCGGCACATTTTTTTTCTAATTTAAATAACATCACTTTTGAAATATACCTTAAGTCAATTAAATGGTGAAATTTGCAAATATTATGCACCTCTGATCTATATACTTGGATAGCATTATCAAGTCAAGTGTTACTGCTTTTCTCATATTTCGGTGATTATATTCGTTTGTATTAAATCCCTAGTACACTCGACTTTCAGAAATCTTGCGCAGTTTACAAAATTTACATTAGCGTCTTTTTGGCCTTTTTTTTCTGGGGTTCTTCACAGAACTTGGGACAAATTGGGACAAAATAGAAAGACGTTTCCATCAATAATTCAATTTCTGCTTAAATCCAATGTTTTCACAATTATCAGAGCTTTTGCTTTACCACTACCTTCAGCTGAAAAGATAAATTTTATCAAAACAGTTTGCATTTGAAGAAATTTCTCTTTGGATTATACTTTCTAAAAACCTTGACTTACGCTCCGAAAACTGTACAATCTAAATCTATATGTGCCTCTACAAGTTAAACACACCCTTGCGTGTTCAGTCCTTATGACGTATATTAACTATTGCGTTGACTTAGATAGGCTTCAAAGTATTTTTAAGCGAATAATAAGCGTTGCTTATAACGACGAAGTTTGAAGCCATGTCTTTTCCGTCGTTCGTGCGTCCTTAAAACTTTCCGTTGTTAATTATTTAAAATTGAGGTTCCTCCATCTACCTCTAAAAAGTCATTCAATTTCGATCCCCAAGCTTTTTAATACAACGACTGCAGTTCTGTAGATCGAATAGAAACCCTTTCCTATTAATAACACGTTTTTCTAACATTACCATTACGGAGTTTGAAATCCTTCGAAGATTCTTTGAATACGTTTCGAAGAAAAAATTAACCACATTGCTAAACTCACAATGTACATTTTGTTGCTGGTAGGACTGATGATTGCAGAATTTATGGAAGAAGATGATTACATATACAGCCATCTAGCTCACTTGTATGTTCACTTATCTTCTATTCTCTTTTTGATAATGAATAAATGAAATGAAGTAGCGATCGTATCCAAGCATATTCGATATTCTTTACGTATCGGAAAACTGAAATTCATATTTAAAAACCGGAAAATGTGGTAAAAAAAGGTTTGCTGGGTTATCATCGAGCGCACGGACACACCATCTAAAAAGAAGTCAATAATAGCGCATGCACACATTCGTGCACATCTGTAGATATGTACGTGTATTTGTATAATGACTTTATTTTTCTTGTATGTTGAAAACCGAGCTGTCGCCCTGCGTCTCTCTCTCTCTCTCTCTCTCTCTCTGTCTCTCTTCCTGTCAGTTGGATATTTGTTCTTCACCAAGGTTTTCAGAAAAGTAAGTTGTAAAGTAAAATGAAATCATCGTCGTCATTATCATTATGAAAATAATGAAGTTTCGCTTTAGGGTCTTAAGTAATGTTGTTGTCAGTGTTGTTGATGATGTTAATGTTGATGCTTGTGTGTTGGTGGCTGTTGGTTGGCCGGTCGATCGGTCGGTCGGTCAATTGGTCCGACGTAAGATGCACCTAATGTTCCACAGAATTAACTGACTGTGTGTGTTCGTTCGTTTTGTGAGTTTTTAATGTCTTCATTATTTTTGAATGTGTATGCTTGCATAAGAGCGCGTTTCTGTGTGTCTGCGAGTATATGCGAGTATATATGTACGTATGTATCCGTATAGCGTGTGTGTTCCTTCACGTAAATCGTACATTACAATGAAAGAAAAATAAAATAAAATGAAAATAACCGATCATCTCATGCATATTACCAAATCAATGCCTTCAAAGAAAACTTGTATATGATCTCAAAAAAAAGACAAAAAAAATTATGGAAGAGTGGGCGCATTTAAATAGAAAGGGATCAAAAAAAAAAAAGCAAAAAACAAAAACAAGAAAGTTTTCTTCTGCTCTTAACCTTAATTTGTTTTGAAATCAAAGAAAGAACATAAAAAAGTGATCTCTCTGTCGTTCAAATATTTTTTTACGGTGTATTCTTGTAATGTGTGTCGGCTGTGTAACATCTGCAGTTCCATGCCACATCGTCATCGTCATTGCTGTAGCATAAAAGCAAAAACCAAGAGTTTTGGCAAGTAATCAATTGATCGCTATTATGGATTGATCTGCTTGCTGGCATTGCGTTGCTGCTTCTGGTGGTGGTAGTGCTGCTGCCGTGCGCTGCTGCTGCTATGTCACTCACTCACTACTCGCACGTTAATGTACGTGTACGTGTACGTGTATCTGAAAAGCCAGTGTCTGAATGCGGTCGTTTATAAAAATCATGCTTATTTCTCTTTTTTTTTTTCTGTTGCGGTTCAGACTTTTTACTGTTTTGCCCGTTGTTATTGTTGTTATTTGTTTGGGTTTTTGGGAGTGGGGGTCGTCTGTCTGCTTTTTCCTACTCTATAAACTCACAACAAAACATTGTTGATTGCTAAGTTATTATACTTCGTTGTTGGTTATTGTTCTTGTTGTTGTTGTTGTAAGTATGTTGGTGGTATCGCGGTTGTTTCGATTTTATTTCTTTTTTTCTCTGTTTAGAAGGTAAGCAATAGTATAAAAAAAAGCTGTCAAACCGCAAACGATTTATTTTAATGACTCAATTAAACGTAAACCACGAAATGTAACTCTGAATAAAATTTATACATATATATATATATATATATATATATAATTATATTTTAATTAATATATATGTAGGTAAGTAAAAAAAAAAAAAAAAAAACAACGACAACAACCAAGCAGCCATAAAGTTATTAAGACATCACCACTGTAAGCATTGAATCGTTTTATTTGTTGTAATTTATTTTATATTTCTGTCAAACGAATTTTAAATATTTCTGTTACGTGTTTTAACGCATATCTAACAGTAAAAAAAAAAAAGAAAAATAAAAAGTGTAATAAATGCGCAATGAGCCGATGAATGAATGGTAAAAATGAAATTCCACACATGTATGTGTTGCTATAGAACTTTTTCTTTTCAATTAGTACTTAACGAGTATTATTATTGTTATTATTATTGTTGTTGTCATCATTACTATTGCATATTTAGTTAAAATTATTACGCCTATTTTCATTCACTTTAATTTCCTCTTAAAATATTATTATGATATGAAATAATTTTGCTTTCGAAAGTTTTCTTGTAATCTGCTTCGAATCCTTCATCGTAATGTTCGCATTCGTTCCTTTATCTGTACATTTTTGTGCATTTTGAAATCTTATAGAAATTTAAGTTGTAGCATACCTATGCAACATTTGATATCATTTACAACTAAACTATGAAAACGGTTGTGGTTCGTTCATAAATATATTTTTTAGTATTATTGTTGGAAACTATAACAAAAATTTTATTAATTTTCTATAACAAAAACTTTACAAAATTTCTTTAATAGATGCAGATTTAAAATTTAGTACACACTCTTTAGGGACGCCTAAAAGTTCATGTCACTATTACGCCAATAATGTGAAACTTTGTATTAGTGCTTGGTGGTGGACTTATTGCAAATATGGCTTAAGCTGAATAGCCTTTCCCTTGCCTTCAAGAGTCTTTTTAAGCTTCAATTGAATACAAAGTCTACACGTCCATTCTCTATATACTATCTGCATGTATTAGAAACTGATCGCAGTTCTAAGCCCTCTGCGAATATCCAAAATTAATACCCGCATTTCGCGATTTTTATATACGGCCCTGGAAATGAGATTATTGAAAATTTGCTCCTTAGACCGAATTGTGAAGATACAGTTGACCTAGATATTTTACCGTGACATGTTTCGTCCCTCTTCTCCTGTCCTCCTGTCTTTTATAAAATATATGTCTTTTTTACATACATATTTTTGAAAAATTTTACTTCTTAAAGATCGCTTGTAAGTAGAAAAAAAAAATTTTAAAAGAACTGTGCATCTATGGAAAGCCATTCTCATATTTGACTTAAATATGGAAAATTTCACTTTGATTACCGAAGGATAAGACGTATGATGTCCGTTATTGGGAACCTCGCAGATATAAATCTTAAAAATGAAGCGAAAACAACACTGCTATATATGCTTTTATTATTATTATTATATTATTATATGTTCTTATTAATTTAGCCAAAGAAATAATTTTTAATAGTAAAATTTTAAAGGGCTAGCATTCAAGTATTTTTGGCTTTTCCGAAAACTATACCGCACTTAAGATTAGAAACTACGATCATTGTGTTGTTAGTCGAGATTTTTTCGGTCTACTCGGCCATTCAGACTGATATATGTCTTTAACCTTAAGCAATATAAGGCTTTAAAGCCACATATAAATGGTTGCAAATGGAAAAGGAAATAATTTTAAAAACTGTAATTAACAGACAAAAAACAATTAATTCTCGACTTTTTACATATTGACAAATTTCTTTTCGACTTCTGTCGAGATTTATTTGATTATATGATTTTTTTTTTTTTTTGTTTAATTGGCAAAAAGTTCATTTGAAGATGACACGTGTAATGATGAAAATTGTTGTAGTAGTGCCGTAAATAAGTCGAAATTACATGGAACGGCGGCAATTAGCATAAAATTTTACTCTCACTTCAACGCCGACACTCAGCTCCGTTTGAACCACTAAGAGATAGAGTGGCTTAGGCAAATATTATGCGCGCCTCTCAGCCCAGAGGTGCAGTTTTCTTTAACCCTGTCGTACGTTAATTATTAATAATCAATTATCGAAGATGTTTGGTACCTTTCTATAAATTGAAATAATTTCTTCATTTTTGTCGATTTTTTTTTTTTTTAAATTCCCGGTCCTCAACGCTTTCTCAAAAATGCACTTTCTTTTTCTTGCGTAATTTTTGTATTGTTTTTATTCGTTGATTGAAGGAATGCGCTAACAATTTAATCTCAACCGTAAGACTCTACTTACTTCAAAAGAAATCTACAATAAATCTTATGTGCAGATTATCTTTATTGAAAATTCCTAACAAGTTGAGTAATCGATTTGTTATGTTTACATACCTTTTCGATTTGATTCAAAGCAACTTGGGCATCTACCCAGGTTGTGCGTATATATAAATCGCAGAATAATTTCTCGTCGATCACATCACCGTGAGTATCTGGAACACGCGGTAAGCTATCCATTGTTGGCACAACCATTTTTTCTTTCGATTTTCTTTAAATGTCGTTTGTTTTGCTTGTTTTTTTTTTTTTATTTATTAATTTAACAAAACTTACACCTTAAACAATTTTCCATGTTTTTACATGATTTGCACATAAATCTTGTTGTTTAAAATTTGCATATGTTTGGTATAAATATTTGCATATATTTTCTCAATAATCAGTTTTCATATATATATGTCACGTTGTTATTGTTATTATTGATGTTACTTTTTTTTTGTTTTATACTTACACTCTTATTTTTATATTTTAACAAAAAAAAAAAAAAAACAATGAAAAACAAAAAGTATTAAGTAGCGTAAAGTAACGTATGTTTGTTATTTTCACGTTCTCTCTTCTATTAATTTCGTCTAAATTGAGAGCGTGATTGTTGTTTTTTGTTGTTGTTTTTACTGTTGTTGTATATATTCTTTCTGCCCGCTACATTTTTCTTCTTTTTACTTCCATTAAATTCTTTACTTAATTTTTGTTTGTGTGCACAATTACTTATTTGTCTTTCGGAGATGTGAAAACAGGAGTATTTCAAATCTTAAAATTGAAAAGAAGCTCTCTAAAGTATTTTGTTTTTCTTTTTATACCTTCCTATAATTTCTTTATTTTACTTATTAAAAAGGCACTTGAATTTTAATTTTATGTTGCAAAAAAAAAAAATATATATATATATATATGTATCCGTAGGAACGTCTTGAGCGTCTTGCTTGTCTGATTGATCTGATGCATTTGTATCTCAATTCAAGTAGAGATATTGTATTATTTTGCTGCATGTCTGGTGTACAACTTTATTAACGTGCTACTAAACTAACAGCTAAATTATCTATATCTCACTAAAATTGCTTGCATGTGTGTGCGTTTGCGAGAATTTGTAAAAATTTAAAAATTCACTTGCTCACTCTCTCTCTCTCTCTCTCTTTTTGTCTCTTTTTCTTTCTTTCTCGCTCCGTTACATTGTTCCATGCGGCCATTTTAAATTGCTATCTCTTTTTCACATAAAATTGTTTAACGGATATTTACTCTCTATTATTAAGAAATAATCTCTTTTTTACTCAACCAAATCTCTCTTTTGTATTGTTAAGCATTGGCTGTTGATTAAATTTCTCTTTTCTTTGGTAACAGTTATGTTAAGTGAGCTTTGTGTGGTTCTATGTGATAAAATCATTATTTTAAATTAAGGTAACATTATTGACTTATGTTTGGTTTTTACAGTGACGTATCCTTGCAAGAGGAGGAAGAAAGATATAGCAACATAAATAAATAAATAATTCATATAATAAGAAGGCCAAGTTTTGAACATGAAACGTAGCCATCTAGAGCGAAGTAATAGGTGTACAAATCAATTACTGCTCTTTTTTGATGAAATTGCTCTATATTAAATTATATTTATTATAAAAAGCTTGTATTAAAAACGAAATATGTATATTTATTGTCGGTAATTTTTTGCAATTTATTGGATAGATTATGGATGCTCACTTTGGGGTTCCGAAACGAAATAGTCTGCGGAACATTTGGTAGCAGTGGTACTCAGAAGGAAACAGGTCCAGGGAATAGAGCGAGTGGAGTAAACCTTCCCAGCATGAGCTTAAAATTATTTTCATCTTTTTCAAGAAGAAAATTTTTTGCCTCCACATCTCACTACAAGGGAAAATGCTATACTGGATCACGGCTCACCATTAAATATCTATATGGGTAGTGATTGAAAAAGTTTTCCGTTCCGAACGATTTGTGAACGTGAAAACATTATAGTCCGCCACACCTGATCATTAAGTACCGCACCACTTTGCTTAATAAAGTTATTCATAATGTCTTATATTCGCTCGCGTTAGGACTTTTGAAAGTAAAGCGTTATATGGCAAATGAGCAAAAAAGTGGTCCAATTCGAATGTTTCTCAATAATGTTCATCGTTAGGTCAGAATAGGTCGATGTAACGCATTTCATCAAAAATATTTAGAAAATTGTCTATAGACCCATAGATTGAACACAGGACTACAAGCGCGACGGACAGACGAAAGAACAGACGAGTTTACATCGATGCAATAAGTCATTTTGCATCTATCGGCATGATAAAAGGCGCGGCTATGTCAAGTCCTTGTGGGTGTTGCATACATTCCCATAAAGTTAATACACCCTGCCCCGCAAGGGCTGTAGGGTATAATGACAAGTTAGAACCTCCATCCGCGTTTATTCGATCGCCACATGATTGTTTGCAATGTGTGTTTGTGTGTTAGTCGAAGCGGATAGAATTTATCATCGGCTCATAGTTAAGAAGAGAATAGAGAATCGATGGCCTATAAGGTCAAATCGAATAATGTTAATTAAAGGAAGGTATGTTGATCTATAAAACGTTACGATTCTCTTCCCTAAAGACTTAATTTTCTTAATTTTTATATAATACAAAGGATACGAAATTTATTCTCAAGACTTCTTTGCGAAAGAATAAAATAAAATAATTTGTATGCTACGCCGATTTCGTTATTAAATTCAATTCATTCCGTACATGTTTGGAATATGGTCAAAACTGAAAGACGAAGTTGTTTACGCTGATATTCTTTTGTTCGTGTATGCTGTGTGTTTCTCCAGTCACATAAAAACACAAAAATTATGCAAAATATCCCGAAAAGCGTACAAGTGCGTACCGTACGATGTCGTCTGCAATTTGTCGACGATATAATTTAGTCAGACGTTTCATTCATTTGTTCTTGTTGTTATTATTATTGTTATTGATTTTTATGTTTGTAATATGCTGTGTGTGGGTGCATGTATGTGCGTGATTTCGTTACCATCTAAGTTGTGATATTTTTGTCTCGCTTGTGTTGTCCTTCAGTGACTAATAAAATATGCTGTTATGAGATTCATAAATTCGCCAAATAAAAAATCGTCTTTACAAATTCAATATTCGCCATGAATTTTTACTTTACTTTTAAGCTTTTAAGCGTTGTAAACGTTGAGGTCCTCCTTAACATACTCGGCGACTCGCAAAGCGTATCAATAAGCCAGCCAAAGTCCAGTGACGTTCGTTTAAACAAAAGTTATTGCCGACAGTTAGTTCAAATGACACTATACTTGACGATGTTGGTGGTGGCGGTGATGGCGGTGATGGCGGTGATCGCGTTCATTTGCCTTCGCATTGACAATAGCAAATTTACGAAGGGATAACAAAATGCTCGCATATCAATAAATTAAGTTCAATAAATTCACTTAAACTGAGGTGTGAGTCGTCTTCATGTGAGTGAGAGGACTCGCCTCATCTTACCAACGACATGACATAACCATATTATATATTTACCTCAATAAATTCATTTGTCTTTGTGTGTGGGTACTTACGTTTGTATGTTCCAGAAATTTTAGCTCTTTCCTTATCTTATTGTCCTGTTATGTTAGCTTTATTACAACTGTTGCTGCTCTTGACAGCCATAAAGCCTCAGCAGCAGTTGCCAATTGCCATAGTCGTAATGACATTACCAGGGCGGTCTTCACTCACCATGTATTACATAGAAACGTTTACCGTCTTCATACACTGCACACAGTAACCATTACGTTCGACGTTCCTGTCTGTTCCTTTTTTTATAAAAAAAAGGGGAAAAAAGCGCAGCTTGAAACCTAACCTTATTGATGTTACACTTTATTATGTTGTGGCATGTAAATTTCGATCAAACAGTTTCATATATATATGTGGTGTATAGCGTTTACATTTTGCATTCTATTATGCTTACTTTGGCAATCTCCCAATTAATTAATTGTTTCGATTCTTAAACAATTGTTATTAAATGTAATTGACATTGCGGAGGCGAAAGAAGAACATCTGCCGCGTTGACTTTAAGCTATGAGTTACGTCTATTCTCAAGATCTTCTTGGGTGAATTGATTGCCTTCCATACATAAAACTTTAAAACGTTCCTTCTCGATATCTTCAGTATTGTTAGTACAGCCGTTCGAGTGGTTTTTCATATGGGACTTAGCTTGCTGTTGAATTTTTTTAAACCAATTAAGTGAACTGACGCAGCTCCTATTTTGGTTGTTCATTCCTCAACTGGTTTAGGCTGTTCCTTCACATAATTTCAGTGAAGACATATTCGCATGTAGAATACATCAGTATATGTAGAAAAATGACTTCTCATTCCTTTGATAGAAAAGACTTAATCTTTAGGAAGTCACTATGGTCATAATTACTACTGGAAACGTGCGCTCTCTACTCTCTCTCTCTCTCTCTCTCTCTCTCTCTCTCTTTCACACATGACATTACAGATATTCTTTAGACACTCTCTTCATTGGCACTGGCTCTAAAAAGTCGTCTTTTCGAAAAAGAACTGCAACTGTAACTGTAAAATATTTCATTTACAAGATTATATTTAAAATAGTTTAACTGAAAAAGCAGCCGGCAAGACCAAGGTAAGGACGAAGAAAGACCCTTAACAATTGCTAAAAAAGTAGCCGAAGTGGAAGATAAGCGTAAGCAACAATACCGCTCGATTAAATATAAATAAATTATATACATATGAAATTTTTATGACGCGGCGTTGAATTGTTTTTTGCAAGCCAGTAAAAATTGTCTTTCGTCCTCGTTTAAATTCATTGGGGTTATCAATAACCTTGATACATCATGATTTAATTTGATATCCAACGTTATACCCAATTCCATGCTTAACCTTTTAACCCCAAAACATTACTTCCTACTTATAACAGCTAGAGGTGTATATGATCTAGTTATACGGCGCTTTTTCACCATAATTTGTAAATTTATTTATAAAATATGATATAAATACATAAGCATGCATCCTCAAAGAATGGGCTTTCACTAGATTTATCGTGCCTATTCTTAAAAAGCGCAAGCTTGCCTCGGATCAATATCTTTGATCACCATAAGACTCTAATTCACTTTAGCACCGCTGACTTACTCCGCCCATCGGGTCGTCTGTTGTTAGGAAGCTCACAGTCTCTGAACTTGAGACAGAAGTCTTAATCCACATTTACGCCGTTCAAGGTTAAAAGAAATTTGTTTCACAATTAAGTCCTTTAACAGGACTACACGGCTTTCTCAGCTGAATTATAGCGCTGAGTTACCTGCATACCCCACAACACACTATTCCGATTTGTCGTTCATTAACCGTACTAGCCACTTTTGGAACAACCTGTGAGCAGCGGTCTTTCCCACCATCCTCGATGTCTTCATTTTCAC